CTGTCCTTTGAACTCTGCTTGCGTTTGCAAACCCTTGTGTCGGTGGGCAGTTTCCTGGTCTGGCTCTGCTGGAGACACTGCCAGAGTGGGTCGGGGACGAGGCCAGGCGCAGGCATGCCCTGGCCAGGCTGGAGTGGGCAGAACAAGCACTGTGGCTGCCACCAGGACCACCCAGACCCCCACTCCATGTCCTGCAGACAGCAGCTCTGTCCCCATCCCAAACACACCCCAGACACGGCTCCGAGACTCGCAGGGAACCGCAGTCTAGCAAAGGCTCTTTTCAGGCGACAGCATCGGGCGGGGGAAAGTGACAGTGATGTGACCCTCACAGCTCGAGGCCTCCTAGATAAAACTGGTCCTTCCTGGCATGGACATGGGCCAAAGAGGAAGGAAACACTCACATCATTCCTCTTCCCCTCTTCAAGGTAGATTCACTGCTCCAAAGCTGGCAGCCCTGGGTGGGCTCTGCCAACTTTGGCTGGAAGCCACACTTGTGGCTTTCCCTCTGCTCTGTGCAGCTCCCCCAGGTCCAGGGAGCCTCTGCAGATTTGGTACGAGATGCTGGCAGGGTGGGAGCCAAGACAGCGCCATGTGGTCACCGTGCCCTGGCATGTCACACAGGCTGTCCCACCTCCGAGCCGTGCCACCGGGAGGAGGCAGGGATGCACCAGAGCGCAGGATGCTGCTCCTGGCTGGGGGCCTGGGGACATCCCCCTCATCCACAGCTCCTGCCCTGAAATCCCTGCTCGTGCCGGTGGCCTCTGAGCTCTCTCCACCAAACACCTCCCAGGCCCGAGGCCACACAACACAGTTCCTCGGCCTCTTAGCAGGGCAGGACCCACTGCATTTTCACCTTGGAGCCTCTCTCTGCAGTTACACAGGGCAGCTCTTAAATCACCATCAAACTACTATGCCTCAGCCAAGACCTGAGTCCTTCGTTACACACTCGCATCAAACAGAGAGACAAGGAGACACAGCGGTGGGGCAGCCACACTCTGCGTGGGCAACAAGGTGCTTAAACCTCCCACTTGCAGGCAAGACGGGCCCAGACAGGCCCCTGTTATCCTCTGCTCACATCTCTGCCTCGCACCGGCGAGAGATTACTGAGAGACAACCGGTGCATTACTCCCAGAGACCTCCAGCCCTGCCGTTAAGGATTCAGATCTTGCCTAGCTGCATCAGCATGGAGAAAATTAAGACCTGCCTGTAGCTCCACAGCCAGTGGGCACAGAGGCAAACCGCAGGGATCCATCACTCGAGGGCGCAGAGACCTGAGGGGAGCTTGGGAGAGGCACCAGCCTGGGGAGCAGGTTGCGGGGAGGGGACAACAGGCAGGCGACCGGGCTCCAAGAAGCCCCCAGCACCAACGGACAAGCTCCAGGAGCCAGGAGATCCCCGTCTCTCCAGCGTGAGCAGCCAGGGAGGCACCCGTCCCCTGACTTGGGCCTGGGTAGGGTGATGGGGATGTGCCTGCCGGCCTCGGGGG